GCAGCCTCTGTGCCCCCTGCTCCCCACTTGCCCTGCAGCCTCTGTGCCCCCTGCCAGCCCTGCCCCTGCAGCCTCTATGCCCCTGCCTGCCCTGCTCCTCCTCGCCCTGCAGCCTCTGCACCCTCCCACCTGCCCTGCTCACCCGGCAGAGGGAGAACTGCAGGCTCCACGTGGACTCAAACACTGTTCTGTGCTGCTCTGCGGGGGAAGAGGGAGCGGGGGAGGGGGAGGGACTCTGGCTGCTAGAGGCCCCAGTGGCTGCGAGCGGCTTTCAATCAGGCCCCGCCATCCAATCAGCCGAGCCGCACTCTGCATGAGGGGAAGGGGGAAATCCCGGACATTTCTACTTGATTAGAAATCCCCCCCGGACGGCCATTTAACACTGAAAAAGCCGGACATGTCCTGGAAAACCCGGATGGATGGTAACCCTAGCTTATGCAAGAACTCTGCCTTTGAAGCTACTCCTACAGGAAGGAAACTTTTGTCTGCTGACCCCGTTACATGAGGACAGATCAGAGACCCAAAAACTATTTAAAGAAGTAACTCTCAGATTAACAAGTGATTTTGTTCTGAGAAAAAGAAGTTATGAACTTGTAACCCCAGAAAAACCTCTTCATGGGGTCTGAAGGGCTGTTCACTGGCCAGAGTCCTTGTTGGAGTTGAGGTGATCTCTGGTAAGCTTATTAGCATGTATTTTTATTGTTTTAAATATATTTTCTCTATAATGCTTTTACCTTAAGAATAAATATGCTTGCTTAGAAAGAGCCGTGTGGTAACTGAACTGTGGCAACTACACTGTTTACTTGCTCTGTAGGGGGAAAAAAAAAAAAAAAAAAAAAAGACAGGCCTGCTTAGGCAGTCTGACTTTGCTGGGGAATTCCCAGTCCAGGCAGGGAGCTGTGCAGACTGGAAACACCATGGTCAGGAGGGAGAGAGACGCATGTCTTTGCTAAGAGAGGCAATACTGGGGAGCCAGAAAATTAAGAGTGGGTGCCCTTGCTAGACTATAGAGGGGAAGTACAGGTGCAGTTGCCCTGAACTGTGACACCAAGGATGGAAGTATATCAACTGAAAAAGTCAGTCTTAATTTATAATGTTTTACCTTTGATAAGATACGGGTGGTTGCAGCACTTTCTGAGTTCCATCATAGTGTTAACTAGATTGGGTACATTAGCTTGGCCAGCTCCTTTCGACAAGAATGCAAAGTTCTTCTCCAAAATTGCCCGATAATATTTCTTCTGGATATTAGTTAGTTCTACTTCAATTATAGTTTCTTCCTTGGGAGCTAATTTTTTCTCTACATCTTCCTTCAACCGTCTCAGCATCATTGGTTTCAGGATAGCTTGTAACTTTTGCACCTGAATAATATATATATATATATATAAAAAACTGGAATGTATGCAAAGGTAAAAAAAGAAGCTTAATTTAACATTTTACAATCTACATTACCTATTTGCCAGATTTACGTGAACTATTTGCCTGGAAGGGACATAGTCTCATTTTCAGAGACAAGTTACCAAAGTAATTTTTCAAATGCTCTGATTGCAGAAAGGAAGCTTTTAGCATTTGTCAGCAGACAACCTGGCCTCAAAGAGGAAGAACTTGGATTTCCATTAATCTCACTCCTTTATTCATCATAGGCACATAATTTGTTATTTAATAGGGAAAAAATGAATTATTTAACATCAAATAAATAGCAAATCTTTACAAGTTATATTTCATTTAGAAATGTTTGTTCTGTACATCAAATTTGTGATGCCAAGCACACTTTCTTGGCTTGCTTAAAAATTTGAGAGGGTGAGCCCCTTCTTTACCGTCTTGTGTCATGAAGTGAAATTACATATCTATGTAAAGAGTTGATTTGTGTGACGGTTGATAGTAAGTTAGTCACCTAAATTACTTTGGCACTGACTGAAAGGGCAGTGAAGGCAGAAAGGATTTAAATATAACCCATTTACAAACCACAGTATTAAAGAGAAAAACAAAACAAAAAGCATCCTCAAATTATTCACTCAAATTGCTATTCTGCAAGTAGAAAGTTAAGAAGTCGTTTATATGTAGTACCTGTTCCTCCGTTTTAAGGTCCCCAAATTCCTGCATGAATGTAGATTCAGCAGGAAAACGCAAAGGTTCAAGAAAATGAAGCAGGCTAAACAGTTCTTCTACTGTGTTCTGCAGTGGTGTGCCTGTCAAAAGCACTTTGTGCTCCTATATAAAGGCATAGATGTCACATGAAATTCTTATGTGCACAGTTAGCAAAAAGATTTTTTTTTTAAATTTCTGAGCACTAACATCTAACTGATTTCACAAGCACTAGAGATCTGATGGTTTATAAACAAAAGGAAGAGCATCAGTAAGCAAACTATTTGAGAGCTAGAATTTCTCTAAACTTTACATTCATATTATGTGCCCAATGGTCCATGGCTAAGATACTATTTTAATAAACTTCAAACAACATTATTAATCTGTGATCAAAAAAAACTCGTTACAGCCAAGTAATAAAGAAATGGTTTTACACTTTATTTCCCTCTTTCTAATATTCACACACACTTCTCTCTCAATAATTACTGAAGTTTATAGTAGAAATTTGAATATCAAATTAGACAATTGATACATTTAGTCTAGTACTGTGCTTCCGACAGCAGGCAATATCTAATGCTTCAGTGTAAAGTAAAAAATTATAAACGCAAAAAACCCCATAATGCATTAGTCATTTGTGCATTATAATACATGAGTAGTCAGTGGCAATGAATTCCTTTTAGAACCTTGCAGGAGACCAGGCAATGGCCTCAGGCATAAGGTTTGATAACCCTTACATCTTAAGCAAGTAAGCTGCAACCATATAAGCAATATCATCATCCAGTTCCTTTCAAAGGTGTCAATATTTGTGAATACAAAGAAGTTGAAAAATGCTATATAAATGAGAAATATGACTGCAGTTAAAACTCTCATTCAAAATAAAGTAGGCTATCAGAAACAGCTCTAGTAAAAATGGATTCTGCTTACAGTTTATGCAAGTTGCATTTCAATCCCACAAAAATACACTGAAAAGGTTTCTGAAAATTGTATACCTTAAGCTGTGAAAACTATCAATAGTGGAATAATAGAACTTTCATAGACTGCCCTCATATAAAAACCACTCTCTTTAAGTCTAACAATTAAACAGTCTTATAATTTATCATAGTATTCTCCCTAACAGGAAAGAAATCTCATTAAACCAAGTAAATGAAATGCAGCCACTCACAAGATTCATGAGTTTGAGTCCCTCCAGGAGTTTGCAATTTTTATTCTTCAGCCTGTGTGCTTCATCAATAATAACACACCGCCATTCAATTGCATTGAGTTCTGGACAGCCACCAAGAATCATTTCAAAAGTGGTGATAATAGCTTGGAACCGGTAAGTACCTCGAATGATACGGCCCTAGAGATTTATTAACAAACATAACAGTTTCTCACATTATCTTGAATCTTCTCATTTTTCATTCTCAAGTTGCCAGTTTTGCTACTGAAATATTATCCAGTAGTGCTTTAAATCTTGAGATATACATCCTTTTCATCTTACCAGAGACTCACTACGATTGTGCAATTCTATAATTAATACTAAATGAATAATTGTCCATTTCAATAATGCTGTGTTGTTTCATGGACAATAAGTTTCTAACCAATTTGCATTGCTTTCCAATCATTAAGTGTCCTATCAAATAGAAGCGTTTAGATAATAGCACACTCTTATCATCTGAACAAAAGTCAAAAGGCTATCTTAACTGTCTACAAAATGGGATCTAGCCAATCAATCATTATACTGGATGGGACACCATTATGCACTAGTAAACTGTGAAAATTGCACATCAGCCACTCAGAATCAACTTATTCATAAAACATCAACATTAAAAAACCCTGTAATTTTAGCAATCTATAAGTCAGTTCCACAGAAAGGCAGAATAGAGTAGTTCCAACAGTACAATGAGCAACTATCACTATCACACCCTATTGCAACAAATCTCAGTCATACACTTTGTACCATTCAATACAATAAAAAAACATTTTAAATCGACCGTTGTCTAAAAGAAAGCTAAAACAACATGGTTTTCCTGTTTTGGATCAATGTTTTAGTTTTGCAAACAAATGTTTCCTTTATACTTTTATATTCTGCAAAACCTTGATCTTGATATAGAAGCAAAAAGGGTACAGTAACTCCTTGCTTAACATTATAGTTATGTTTCTGAAAAATGCTACTTTAAGCAAAACGATTTTAGGTGAATCCAATTTCCCCATAAGAATTAATCTAAATGGGGGAAGGGAGGGGTAGGTTCCAGGGAAATTTTTTTCACCAGACAAAAGACAAAAGACACACACACACAAAGTTTTAAACAAACAATACTGTACACAGCAATGATGATTGTGAAGCTTGGTTGAGGTGGTGAAGTCAGAGGGTGGAAGAGGGTTGGATATTTCCCAGGGAATGCCTTGCTGCTAAATGATCAACTAGCACCTCGCTGAGCCCTCAAGGGTTAACACATCGTTGTTAATGTAGTCTCACACTCTACAAGGCAGCATGAATGGAGGGAGGGGAGACAGCATGGCAGAGAGAGACTGTGTGGGAGACACACACGTGTGAGAGAGAGAGAGAGAGAGAGAGAGACGCGCATTCGCCCCTTTAAGTACGCTGACTCCACTCTAAGTACACTGTACCTTTTAAAGTAGATCAGCAAATTGAGACAGCAGCTGCTGCCAGCAAGCTCTCTCCATTCTAAGCCCTGTCATGTTCCCCCTCCCCCCCCTCTGGAGATGGGGTAAAGGAGTGAGGGGAAGTGGGGAGGGAGACACCCTGACATTAGAATCTCTCTTCTCCCCCTCGCACAGCAAGCAGGAGGCTCCCAGGAGCAGCTCCAAGGCAGAGGGTAGGAGCAGCA